GGTACAACCATTGTGGAATATGGTATGCCGTTTCCTTAAAAAATTGAAAATAGAGATACCATTTGACCCAGCAATTCCATTGGTAGGAATATAACCTAAGGGGGTGAGAGGCAGCACACGTACAGGTATGCACACCTATGTTCATCACAGCACAATTTACTATGGCAAAGAGATGGAAACAACCTAAATGCTCATCAACGGGTGAATGGATACCCAAATTATGGTATATTCACACATTGGAATACTATGCTATATTAAAGAACAATGAAGGATACATTAATCATCTCACAACGTGAATGAGTCTGGAGGACATTATGCTGAGTGAAATAATTCAATTGCAGGACAAATATTCTAGAGCCCACTACTGTAAAAGGACAATGAAGAGTTTGCTTAAGAAAGGGAACTCATTTTATAGGTTACCAGGGTGGGGAGGGAAGGGAAGGAATTAATTTTGGGCTAGTTGGGGCCCACACACTGACGTGGTTAAGGGGAGTTATGTATAGAAAGAGTCCCAGACCACCATGATAGCATTAGGAAAAGGGAGGACATCGAATTGCGCACATAGGAGATAGATGACAGTTGCTAATACCAACCATTGTGTCCACAATAATGCATTACCATCAACATCAAACACCAAGCTACAGAAAAACATATAAATATCTGAGAGGATCAGATGAGGGTCAGTGAACAGGACTATACTCTGATGAAGGATAGATTCATCAGAGGCTAATTAATCGTGCACAGATACCAGTGATACAAAATATATGCAATCCTTTCAGAAACAGAAGACAGACATAGAGTAATCCCTCACAGACACCCAGGCACTGTGAGAGAGAGATGCAATGAATCTATCAGCTCAGAACCATAGTACTAGGGGACACCAGACTCAAATTGACACAACAAAATACATAAAAGTCTTGTTTCTCATCCTACATTGGTGACTAGTGACTGGGGTCTTAAAAGCTTTCAAGCTGTCATCTAAGATGCAGCTAATGATCTCCTATCATTGGAAGTGAAGAAGAGTGAAGAAAACCAAGGGCATTTGGAAACAATCAGCGCTAGGACATGATGGCCCTTGAGACTAGAAGAACTAGATGGTGCCTGGTTACCAATGCCAACCATTCAGGAAAGGATCAAATCTGGAGATCCTGGATAGAGTGGGAGGAAAAATGTGGAACAAAATCCAAAAACTCAATAATGACCAGAATTACTGGTCAGACCCCAATATTATGGACCTGGGATATGTTCTGGGCCTGGAATAAAACTCACTCTCAAGGCCTCGCTCTCAGCCAAATAGTAAACAAGATGTACACTCAGCTCACTCAACCCAGGGTGATGCCCCCACATATTCTATGGAAATGGATCCCTTGGAGCAATCAACCACAGTGCACCAGAGGGGCAACATTCACATGGAGGAAATTCAGGACAAAGAGGAGTGTATAACTATTAAGGGCACAGAGGGAGGGTTACTGGGCAGGGAGGGGAGGAGACTGGATTAGCGTTGGGTACGGTAAATGGGGAGCAAAACCAAATATACACGTAATGTTGAATGTAAAACAAACTCTGCTCTGTAAACTTGCACCTAAAGCACTATACACAAACACACACACACACACATACACACACACACACACACACACATATATATTTATACAGCAAAAACAATTCAGTTAAGAGTTGTCAAATACATATGAGTAGCAAGATGATACAGGTGTTGGGGTTCTAGAGTTAATCTATTTAGAACATCCTCCTCAGGGCAAAGCTGCCCTTTCCTTGTTCATCCAACAGTCATGAGTTGCCTTCTCAGAAATATAAGTGAGTCTAAAACAAAATGGAGTCCAGCCAAACCTTTTGTCAGTCATTTTAGTTAGGCTAAATTCTAATGTTATGGGGTGCCTTCACATATTTTCCCCTCCTCTGATCATGAATTTCTGTACAAATTCTTTGATCACCATAAAGTAGCGTAAATGCTGGGCATATCAGATGAATTATTTGGTTTCTCAAAAAGGTTGACTCAAAGTGAAGTTGATCTTCTCTGAGAAACTAATTTCTTTAAAGTACATTATTTTTAGTATACCAAGTAGGGTGACATTTTGACTACAAGTATTTGATAGGCATTTCATATAACATTGTCTTAAAGATTAATTAAAATAATTACTGATTTACTCTAAAGACAAGTTTGATTTTCTGTTTCTCTAAATAGATTGAACTCTTCAAAAGTGCACAATGTTTAGAGTTAAATAGTCTTACTAGTTTATCTGAAGGATTTCTGGTGTTATAGTGCCTAAAGTATTTGACTGCTAACCAGAAGGTTGGAGGTTCAAACCCATAAGCCACTCCTTCAAGGAAGATGGGGCAATCTACTTCCATAAAGATTTACAGCCTCAGAGACCCAATGGGGGTCACTATGTGTCAGAATGGACTCAGTAGCAGGAAGTCTGAGTCTGGAGTTTATCTGAACCATTGTTTGACTCAAAATACAAAGTATTGTAAGGTCGCGGCAGGAAAAGAGAATGCACAAAAGTGGGGTTAAAGAGAAGTTTTTATTCTGTGCTCCCAGGCAAGGTTTATGGGTCCCCGAGAGGGACCAAGGCGAGGTTCATGGGTCCCTGAGAGGGGCCAGAGAAGTTGCGCTGCCTGGGTGAGAGAAAGGGTTTTTTATAGTGATATTTTTCCTGTTCCTTAACATACTGGGTTGAGAGCAGGGGATGTGTTGCAGGAACCAATGAGGTTAAAGCACCTCATTAGCATGGGGGCAGGAAATAGTTGGGGGCTTTTGTAAGTAAGGGTCATGTGCTGGGGTTTGATATGGGGTGTAGTCAGCCACTTCCTTGCTTGACCAGTTCTTGTAATTCTTTCTGGCTTAATCATTTACCTGCCTGGCCTGTTGTGTTCAAGCCTGACATTCCAGCCTTTTTGGTGATAAAGGGCGAAGTTATCTTTCTGGCTGCTTCCTGCTGAACAGAGTCAGAGTGAGGTTATAGGCTAGCATCAGTGGGAATTGGGTTGGTTGGCAGGCGAGTGTATGGGTGTAGAAGTAGTTGGTTAACAGTGATTCTGGACATTTCTCTGAGCCGGTTTTGGAGGAATTTAAGGAGGCAAGGAGCAAAAGAAGAAAGAGACTAATTAGTACAAGAGGTCCCATAAGGGGTAGTAACCAGGCTGTTAGTGGCGATCAGAGCCATTCAAATGGTGAGGTTCCTGTTCAGTGCCTATTACTTAATTCTTCACTCAGTCGAGTCAGTGTATTGACATTTTGTTCCACTAGACCGGATTTGTTGAGCTAATAGCAGCATTCTTCTTTAAGAAAGAGGCAGGTTCCACCTTTTTCCACCGTTAATAGGTACAAGGCTCTTTGATTCTGTAAAGTAACTTGGGCTAAAGAGGTTCGTTGTCGCTGGAAGGATTCAGATTCCCTATACAGAGTGAGTTGGGGTACTATTGTTACTGGAAAGCAGGGGCTTGGAGTGGTGGAGTTTAAAATTTAGTTAAAGTTCCATTACACCAAAAGTAAGTGCTGGGCACTACAGAGGTGTAGGACATAATAGAGATGTTTTGTGAGCAGAAACTGTGCCTCAGCGGGGGTAGATATGGTGTTGTTGGTGAAAAAACAAACTCTGGAAGGATGTGTCTGGTTAAGGGCTTCAGGTTCCTAAAGAGGCACTTGTGGCAGAGGAGTGGTGCAGGAAGGATTGGGTGTGGGTGTCAGTGATGGCTGAGTGGAATTAATGGGTACAGCTGCAAGTAAAGGTCGCTGAAGAGAGACACAAAGAAATCAGTGGGAAATATTGGGTAAAGTGTGAGAATGGTTAAGAAAGAATAAAGTATGTTGAATAATTTGTACCCATGAAGACACCGGGACCTTCTGAGGTCTAATATGGAAAAATGAGTGGTAGATGGTGGAATATGAGACAGGAGTGTGTAAGGATTGGGGACAACAGGGTGAATAGGGATTACAGCTTCATTAATGAGGCATAAGTCTTGTACTAGGCGATATGAGCTGTCAGGTTTCCTTACCAGTAGGATGGGGGATATTATAAGGTGAATGTGTGGGAATTAAAAGGCCCTTAGTCAAAAGATGCTGGATAAGAGGTTTCAGTCCCTGTCAGTGTGTTGAAGAAATTGGAAACTGGGGTCTTGAGGGAAAATGAAAAGGGTTCTTTAAGCGAATAAGAACAGGTGAATTGTGGGTAGCAATGGTAGGAGTGGAAATGTCCCACACAATGGGATTCACTAAATCAGGAGATAAAGGAGGGTTCAGTGTGGATGTTGGAGTAGGGATTAGTGATAATAAAAGTGTTGCTGAGGGGTCCTGTGTCCAGTGGAGGGTGACCCCTAATTTTAAAAGAAGGTCTCTTCCTAAAAGTGGGGTGGGGCAGGTAGGTATCAATAAAAATTAGTGTGCAATAATTCTGTTGTCTGTAAGGCATGTGACAGGACCTGTTACCTGGGGTTTGGAGTGGTGCCCATTAACTCCCATCACTGAGACCCAGGAAGGGTATAATTGTCCTGGGAAGGAAGGTAAGACAGAATAGGTAGCCCCCATATTGACCAAGAAGGACGTTAACTTACCCACTACCTTGAGTGTTACCCTGGGCTCAGCTAGAGTAATAGGGGTCAACGAGTCAGGGCTTCTTCTATCTTCAGCTGCTAGGCCCAAGATGGTCAACAGCAGGTCAGGGGGGTGGAGAAGTTGGCCCCCCGTGTCTTCGCATGGAGGGACAATCACTTTTCCAGTGTTCCATATGACCACATGCCAGACAGGGTCTGGAAGGTTGTCATGGGTGCAGGCAGTGTTTGGCCCAGTGGCCTTCCTTCCCACATTGCAAGCAGGGTCCAGGTGGTGTGGTGTTTCTGGAAGGTTGAGTAGGTGCCAGCCTCAGGGCTGCCACCAAGGCTTGGGCTTGTAAATTGGCCTTCTGATGAGTACAAGATTCTGTATCTGCTTCAGCCCATTCCTCCCGAGTGTTAAAGACTTTAAAGGCCATATTCACCAGGTCTCAGATGGGAGTCTGGGGGCCCTCCTCTGCCCTTTTCAGTTTCTTTCTAATATCTGGGGCAGATTGGGTGATAAAGTGGGTAGCTAAAACAGTAGCTTCTACCGGGGAGGTTGGGTCTAAGCGAGTATATTGTAAAAGGGACTCAGTGAGGCAATTAAGAAAAGTTGCTGGGTTTTCATTAGAAAGCTGAGTAATTTCTTGCAGCTTCTCAAAGTTAACAGCCTTATTTGAAATAGCCTGTAGGCCCGCTAGGAGGCACTGGAGCATTTTATCTCTGCGGGTGCAGTCACAGCACCCAGATTGGGTATATAGTTGGTATTCCCATCCAAGGTCCTGTCCAGGAACAGCCTCTAGACCTACTGGCATAGTAGGGTTAGTTAAATGCGTTTCATTGGCATATTCCCGAGTGGCTCCAAGAACCCGCTCACTTTCATCAGAGTTTAAGGTAGAAGAAAGAATGATATAGATATCATGCCAAGTTAAATCATAAGCTTGTGTGAGATAATGAAATTCTTTGGTGTATGTGGTGGAGTCACTGGAAAAAGAACCTAAACGCTTTTCAATTTGAGATAAGTCAGTAAGAGAGAATGGGACATGAAGGTGAACGAAGCCTTCCGAACCAGTCACTTCGCATAAGGGACAAAGAAGGGGTTGTTGAGAACGAGTGTAGCTGCTTACTGGAGAAGATAAGGAGGGTTCTTGGGAGGTGGTGTCCAGGGATGTCGGTGGAGACATGGGTGGGGGTGGCAGAGAGGGTGCAGTGCGGTTAACAGGAGGTGAGGATGAGAGTGTCTGTCCTGGATAAGGGGGTGGTCGGTGGGGTGGGGGCAAAAGAGATTCAGGTGGATCAGAAAAGGAGGAAGTTGGTTCGGGAGAAGTGAGAGGAGTTAAAGAGTCCTTAGAGGGGGTTTGAACAGGAGTTTCACGAGCTAGAAGAATTTGGGTGGTATTGCAACTAGAGCAGAGAGAGGGATGGGAGCGCAGGTGAAAGAAAGCTTGGACATAGGAGACCTCCAGCCATTTGCCTGTGTGTTGGCAGAAATTACCGAGATCAGTAAGAATATTAAAATCGAAAATTCCTTGCTCAGGCCACCAAGAATTATTACTTAGTGGATATTGGGGCCAAGTAGTAGTACAATACAAAATTAGGCATTTGGAACATAAGTCCTGAGCCAGCCCCAGGGTACGAAGATTGAGTAGGAGACACCCCAGAGGAGTAATTGGGTCTGGCTTAGAATTCTGGTTACCCATGATCCCTTAAGTACCGATGGAAAGATTCTGTCAAAGGACCAGCATCCCAGCCACTTTGCTAGAATCCCAGAAATGGAGTCTGGAAGAAAACAGTGGAGTCTTCAGTCTGGAACGGCTATGCCATAGAAAGACAAGGAACCCAAGGCATCCCCAGGATGCCTCTGTCTTTGGAACGGGACAGTCTCTGATGAAGCACCAACAATTTTTGGAATGAAAGGGACAGAGACTCTAGAATAGGTACCAGGGCTTGGGACCTGACCGAGTGCCCAGAGTGGGGGACTTACCGGTGTTGAGTGCTGGTGGCCAGAGATTCCTGGTCCATTGAGTAGATGAAAAAGAAGGAGGAGAAGGGAAGGGGGGTTGTGGCAGAGATTACCGGCACCACAGCTCCCTCTCCCTCCTCTCGGGTTTTGGCACCAGATGTAAGGTTGCAGCAAGGAGAAGAGGATGCACAAAAGTGAGGTTAAAGAGAAGTTTTTATTCTGTGCTCCCAGGGGAGGTTTACGGGTCCCCGAGAGGGACCAAGGCGAGGTTCATGGGTCCCTGAGAGGGGCCAGAGAAGTTGCGCTGCCTGGGTGAGAGAAAGGGTTTTTTATAGTGATATTTTTCCTGTTCCTTAGCAGACCGCGTTGAGAGCAGGGGATGTGTTGCAGGAACCAATGAGGTTAAAGCACCTCATTAGCATGGGGGCAGGAAGTAGAGCTGAAGCACTTCATTAGCATAGTGGGCAGGAAATAGTTGGGGGCTTTTGTAAATAAGAGTCATGTGCTGGGGTTTGGTATGGGGTGTAGTCAGCCTCTCCCTTGCTTGACCAGTTCTTATAATTCCTTCCAGCTTAATCATTTACTGGCCTGGCCTGCCGTGTTCCTGCTGACAAGTATGTTCTCTTAAGACTCAAGATTCAAAAGGATACCTGAGGTCAATGATAAAAAGCAAACCAAACTCACCAGGTCCAATAAGTCCTGACTCATAGTGATCCCTCCCAGGGTTTCTGAGGCAGTATCTCTACGGAAGTAGACTGCCCAGTCTTCCTTCTGAGGAGTAGCTGGTGGATTTGAACCACCAGCCTTCTGGTTAGTAGTCAAATGCCTTAGGCACTGACCATCAGAGCTCCCAAATTTATCAATGGAATACTTAAAATGGAATTACCTTATCAAAACTTATTTAAAGTCTGATGATTATATTATTACTTTTAATGCAAGAACCATTTCAATAACTAATAGCACTATGTTGATTAAGAATTTTCTCATTTCCTTTAAGGTTTCTTTTCTGGTTCTTAATTTTAGATTCCTTTCATATTTTTTATTTTTCCTGTTGGTTAATTGATTACATATAAATACTTAGGAATAGCACAATAAGAACCAGTCAAAATCTGTAGATGAAAACAACAACCCCATTAGATAATTTAGAAGAAAGGGGGAACATGGTATTTTTTATACACAAAAATAGAATATTAATACATTAGTAATATTTCTATATAGATCTTATAGTAATCTTTCAGTTCATACAGTCATGTATAGTTACATTTTCTTTCCTAAGATCCTAGATCAGCTGCAATTCAGTCTGTGAACTTGTCACCACCTATACCAGAGTTCTGGAAATCTGGAATCAATCTAGCAGGATCCATATTCAAAATATCACAGTCCTTTCCATAAGTCCAATATAGTCCATCTTTCTGTTGGAGTACTTTGGTCAAATGTTTCAGCAAGTCAATAAAGCAAAGCTTCTCTGCAGGTGACAAAAATAGTCATGGTTAATTCACACAAAAAAATTTTTTTTGGTGTGAGAACCTGATGGAAAATCAATTACATAACGATTGTAAAGCCAAATAAGTTAGATTAAAATCAAAAGGAAAGTTAGATGAGAATATCCCCAAACACAATGATTAACCTTATTTTCAAAGAGGTGTAAATATAACACATAATTATCTTGAGACATAGAATTACATATTAAGATTATCAAGTCTCGAAACATCTGAATTAAGCTTACAGGTAAGTAGAGTAATTCTCCCAGTTAAATTCACTGTATTTTTTAATGCTGCTTTCAAAAGAAAAGGTTGCAACCAAATTAACAATTAAAATAAAATTGTTATATAATATCATGTATTTGTTGTCTAATACTAGGGAAAAACACAAGAGGAAACACTAATATAAATTTTTAACTCAAAAGAGAATCAGCTACTTCTTTTGAATTGACAACATGCTTAGGTAGTCTATAAGCTATTAAATAAAACTATAGCACCCTTTTTGTAAAAAATCTCTTGTGACTTGTCATAAAGTTTGTCAGAGTTTATTATAGGCTACTGAGAAATAATACCTAACTAATTTAACTAAAAATTCTAAAGATAATAACCTTAATGTTTCTCAAAACCACATGGATTGGTCTGACTCAGGAATCACTCCTTGCCTTAGAGATCAAATTTAAAAAGAATAAATGAATTCCTTAAACCAGTAATCAAAGAAAATTTTGTTATTTTAAGTGCAAAAACCTTAATTTAGTATTTTATATGCCCCTTATCATTTAACCTCCCCCAAATCTGCAACTATTGAATTTTAGCCAAATAGATAAAAACTTGACCATACCAAATAAATTCCTTTTAATAAATCTTTTACACAATCTGTTGCATATCTCATGTTTCATGCCATTGACCACAGTTTACCACAATGAAACAGCTCCCCACCCACTTCCTCCCCATAGTTACCTCTTCCCAGTGTCCATCCCTCCATACACTCCTGCCGCCTGAGCTGTCTCCCTGTGGATAAGCAGCCCATCTTTCTCCCATGATTGTTCTCTCCAAGGAGTGTATCTACTTGAGGTAAATGTTCAACTCATATGCCTATCTTTTGTTTGCCTGAAAACCACAGGTGTGGGTTAAATTCCAGACCTGAAGGGCAGCTAGGGGCCATAGTCTCAGTGTTTCCACCAGGCTCTATCGGACCAGCAAAATGGTCCCCTCTGCCCACTTTTTCTTTTTTTTCTCCAAATGATTTTGAGTTTTGTTCCACATTGTTCTCCCTCTCTCTCAAGGGTCTCCTACACAGATCCAACAAAGAAAATTTCCTTCTATACATAAACTTTTCCTTAACTTTTAAAATAATGGACTAATACAATATTTGTCCTTTTGTGATTGACTTATATCAATCAGCATAATGTCCTCCAAGTTCATCCATGTTATGCGGTGTTTTGCAGATTCTACATTATTCTTTAGCATTGCATAGTCATGGTGTCCCTGGTTTCTTTGTTCAATATTATTTTCTGTGCTGAGCTCATTATGTTTATGAATCATGTTATCATTTCCTTTGTTGCTGTTGTTTCAGTATATGCTGCTTGTCCTCTTTTTTATTGTGATGTGAAGGTTTATCATTTTTCTTTGAGGTTAGCCAGTGATTTATAATTTTATCCCCGAGTTTAGAACAGTCCATTCTATCTTGAAACTCTCACCATTTAGAAGTTCTGTAACTACACAGTCTTTTCCTTCTTTTTGTTTGTAGTTGTCCTCACTTGCCAATTGAAGTCTCTGGTTCCCTGTTTACAATCTTGTAAGCTTATTTTACTTTGGATAGGTCCATAGCTGTAGTTTCTGGGTTGTGTCATCTTGTGTATTATTGGTCGGTTGTTATTTGCTATTTTTGGTTCTCTGTTCAAAGGACTCCCTATAGCATCTCTTGTAAGGTTGGTCTGGTTCCTTTAGTTTCTGCTTATCTGGATATCTCCTAATTTCACCATCATATTTGA